CGTGGGCCCCTTTATATTTAGTGAATAACAAAATTCATAAAATGATTATTAGAATATTTGAAATAAATATTATCTTCGAATATTCAAATATTAATATTGAATATCTCTTAATTTATAAATTCATTTTGTATAAATAAATATCCAGAGACTTATACAAATTCAAATAATCAATCTAAAAATCATTTAACATCAAAATAATTAATTCCAAGTAATTTTGATGGGAATCGGATCCGACTAGGTATAAGAATTAAAATATTGTTGAAGCACTCCATCTTCTATTATGGAATGTAGTCTCCACTTGCTTTCTCAAACTGACACAGTCCATGGATTGTAGGTTTTACCTAGATATGAGTCTATGGTTACATAAACCTGAATTTTATAGTGTATAGAGGTAATCCTTCGCACATGTACATGCTTTACCCTCAATGATTATTCGCTTTTCCGATACAACTACATGCTGTGTGATGGTTCAGTGATGAAGCTTTGGGCCATTAAGGGATGACCCTGCAAATCGTCATTGGTTTTGTTCTATGCTCAGGTAATAAGGGTTTTCCAACTCAACTGGCCCATCACGTCAAGTCAAATCTGAGTATTGACAAATAACATTTGCGAAACATGGTCTAAAAATGACCACACTCTCAGTGTTTATGTTCCACTATATCAAATATTTAAACACAAGCTCTCGTAAGGCCTTTAATGGCCACAAAACCCAACACATAAATCTAGAATGGAAGTGTGTTACCTATTTTTTTGGAAAAAATGAAAAATAAAAATAACCACTTAAATAATAATTTAGATGATTTTATTTTGAGGTAGTTTAATTATTTTTAAAGAAAAAAATTATAAGTTTGCAACCTTATATTATAGAAGTACGGTGCACCTCAAAAGTCCAATAGAAAAGAGTAATATGGAGTTGGAAAATCTTCAAATCGATAATTTAGACCTCGAGATGTGTAGATATAAAGAAAAAAAAGAATTTTAAGTGCTAATGACAATATATCTTGTAACAAGTTTTCTGCACCATCCGCTTTAAGATTTTCAAGCATTTATAAATTTGTTCGATCTGTACTTTGTTTAGAATTTAAAATCTTATAATTTAAATTGAAGATGAATGCTCAAGCCATAATAAGATATCCGACATCAGAACTGTATCTTTCGATAAAATTTAATGGTATGCCTCCTTTTATAGTATAAGGTGGGCACCTTGTACAAACCTCACCCTGAGTTTAATGATATTTTTAAACTCCATCTCCTACGGTTGGGGGTATTTCTGTCGTGTTCATTAATGGTAGGGGTACAAGTTAGTAAATCACAAATTAAAACACAAAGTTTTCTAAAAAATGGCATATTTTTTGAAGGAGCAATGATTTCATGCAATGGTTGCATCATACTATAATGCAGTGACACTTCTAGAAAATCACGTTTGTGTTATTTGTATGACCTAAAATTTGACACACACACACTCTTCATCTCAATTATTAATCAAAAAAAAAAAAAGTTCAATTTGAACCCTAGATATGGTCAAAATGAGTCATTTCCAAAAATGAATCTAGACCATTCATTTGGTAAACTCAAAATCATTATTTTTTTTTTTTAACATTGTTCATCTAATGATAATAAAGTCATCCAAAAAGATTGGAAATGAAAAAATCCGTCTAAAGCCTAGATTTAAGCATTTCACCAAAATGAACAACCTATGTTAATTGGGCTAAAAAAATACTTTCTAGGTTTTGTTTTCATTTTTTTTGTGATAGTTCATTAGAATGAAAAGAGTGTATATTTCAAAATTTGAATCAAACAAATGGTCATAAACATGGTTTTTAAAGGTTGTTGCATTATATTACGAGACAAACGTTGCATGAAATCATTGATCTTTTTAAAAGCATTAAAAAAAATGCACATTTCTAAAAGATGGACAAAAATATGCAATTTTTTTTATAAAATTCATATCCATTATTTTTAGGTTTCATATCTTGATAAACTCAATGTTTTAAAAAATATCTCTTAACCCCTTGGTCACTTTAAACCTATTTTTTAACCTAAATAAATGTGAGAAAAACATGCTATTTCTAAACCCAATCATTTATCTCTCTTCACTTATATACCTCAAACTTCTCTCTTTCTCTTTGTTCTTGTGTCTTTCACACTCTCTCTCTTCATGTGTTTCTCCAAACACCTCTCTCTCTCTTTCTGATAACCTCTCACATCTATGAAGTTATTTTCTCTCTCTCGAAATTTGGGAATATGACTTTTAGAAAAGACACGTCTTTTTAGATTTGTTTGGCCTAAAAAAACAGGTTTAAAATAACTCAAGGGTTAGAAGAAATAAAATCTACAATTTTTATGCCCTAAGTT